AGCCTGCCCTTTATTTTAGTACCTTTTTGTTACCCCCTCTCACATCAAACAAGAATAAAAATTTAGCTGTATCACAAGGCTCCTTCTTCCTTTCTCAAATATTGCTAAGGAGAGTAATTGGCAATAGGGCCACATCCCCTCCTCCATCATCTTAGTTTTCCACTTGCCATCTCTACCTCTCCTTATTTTTCCCTTTCTTTCTAAAGGTAACCTTTCTCATCTTTGAGACACAACCCCATCTTTGATCTGCAATTCACTAGCAGTTCCTTTCCTTTCTCTATCGATTGTGTCTCCTGGAGTAATGTCACTAAATTGCAATTTTCCTTTGCAGGCTGGGTGTTCCTGAACCATGGGAGTGAGTTATGTGTGTTCAAGTGCTACATCTTCCGAATCTTGTTAAGCTTTGCCACCTTCTAGCCCCACTGATGGAATATTTAATCACAGAAATGAGCTGGCTGATATGATGTACAGTGTGAGGAAGCTCTGCCCTGTGGATCTTACTGGCAATCGAGGATCAGAACGTTGCCATTTGTCAGTACTACTATGACAACTTTGAATCACCTTCTGTTTCTTATTTATTTTGCTTCACTTATTATGAACATTAAAGGTATATTGAATCAACCATTTTACTGGATAGGTATCATCTCTAAAAAAAAGAAAACACTACATTTTCAAGTGGTGAGGACATTTGTATGCATGTGTGCATGTGTGTGCATGCGTGTATACATGAATGTGTGTTTTGTGTGGACATGTAAAGGTAATAGGATAGGTGTTTGGAGGGAATTATCTACCTTTTTGAGACTGGAGCATGGGGCTTGAGATGTAGGCTAGACTGACTGGCTGTATGCTTCCAGGAACCTAGCTTTCCCTCCCTCCCCAGGCTGAGGTGACAGTCATGTGCTGAACTACCTCCCTTTTTAACTTGAGTTCTGGGGATTGAACTCAGGCCCTTATGAATGCAAGACAAGAGCTTTACCAGCTGAGCTATCTCCCAAGATCTCAAAATGTTTTATTAGAATAGGCAAATAGGTTTCTCTATGGACAGGGGGATGATAAGAATCCCTTATGAGCTTTCTTTATTTTGATTCTTAGACATGCTCATTCTAATTACACCCAGTAACTTGAGGCATAGTGATGTGAGCAGATATCCACAGATATTCCATTTCTATTAGCACCCCAAAATTTATTTAAACCCTAAGATGGTGTATCCATACATATTGGTCAAAATCTTTAATACCCATCTGTGCCTTAATTGACTTATCAATCATTTGTCTTGAGAATAAACCTCACAGGGTCTGCAGATGATTAGACTTAGGGAAATAATCAATGCTGCTTATATGAAAACACTCACCTGTCTTTGGAAAAGATTTATATCTGTTCCTAGAATATGCAGATTTATGTATATTTGTTTCATCACACTTGTATTCAATAAGAATTTAAAAGAGTTTATAGTAAGTATGCCTGGGGGTGAAACCAGAAAATAAAAAAGAAAGAAAAGAAATACAACCTCCAAAATGAAAAACCATTTAAAATGGTTTTGGCTTTCTAAATGCTTCCCAGGACTGTGTGTGTGTGTGTGTGTGTGTGTGTGTGTGTGTATGTACGTGCAAAAGTCATAATCTATCAAAGCAAATTAATACTGTTCAGCTAATAATTAAAGGTCTTCATTAAGAAGTGTGCCCTCCCTCCCCACCCCCATCCAACATCAGCAATAAAAATGCACTGGGGGGCACCAGAAGGTTCTATAGGAAAATCAATAACTTGCCATTTTATAATTAAAAGAGAAAATAAATGTTAGGGGAAAGTCCACTAAATTAGGAAAATTACCTTTAGGAGAGATTGAAAATATTGATTTTAATTTACAAAATCTGTGAACTTTCCATGCCCCATTTTGAGAGACAATTGGAGGCTGGATGGTTCTTTCTGTATAAGCTCGAGGAAAATCAATAATTATGCTATGGGAATATCATGAAGTCTGTCATGAACACATCTTAGACTGAGAAATGACTAATGAGTCTGGCTTTCCATCTTGGACATACATAGAGATGACCTATGAAATATCCAAACAAGCCAATGGCAAGGTCTTTATCTCCGGTAGGAGGAAACCTCCAAATTGCAAGAAAACTCCAGACTAGTTTTATAGCTAAGTTCAGATGCTTTGTAAATTCCTAGTCATAGTGTGCACCTGGAAGGCATGGGTCATCATACCCAGACTCCACACTTACATGGCTAGTGTTTTGCCAACTGAGCTAATGACTCAGCCTCCTTTCTCTCTCTCTTTTTGTTGTTGTTATGTGTATGTATGTTTTGTTTGTTTGTTTTTTACAACAGTGTTTCAATTTGTAACCCATTCTGGCCTTAGACTCAAGGCAATTCTTTGGCCTCAGCCTCCCAAGTGCTGACATGTATACACACATTTCTATGCCAGGTTCCTTGTTAAAAATAAAACAAACTAACTAACTTAAACCCAAAACTTAAAACACAAAAACCCAACAACAGCAAAAACCAAAACTTTAATTTACTGGGAAAACCTCATAATACATCATTGTTTGTTCAGGTTTCTTCAAGGCTGTCCTCACACAACCATTTCAGATACCTAACAGTGGTGGTGGTGCTAGTGCAATGACCAGGTGTGGCTTGTTTCACTTTTCTTGTTTGGACTTAGACAGTGGGCTGACCACAGGGCACAGCCACAGAAATGTAGACTTACTATTTATAAAATATAAGGAGTCATGGTATCTACTTACAAAGGACTCAGCACCTGAGATTGATCAAAACCCCACTTTTATTGTGAAATCCTAAAGGAGATATACAACCTTTGTATACTTTTGTGTTTTAATTTGCAAAACTGCCACAAAGATTTAATACAATCATGTATGGAATGTGCTTAGAATAGTGCTAGTCCACAGAAAACCAGAGACCTCTCTTCCAAGGCTGAGCTTTGATCTAGTTTCAACTAATATTCTGATGCTACTGAAGGAATACAGATTCCTTTATGCTAGCACATGTAAGTCAGTCTAACCCTCTTCCTTGTGCTCTTCAATACCAACAGGCATTGACTGTGGGGTGGAATCCCAAATAAAGGAGAGAGTTGACATTATTCTTGTCAGTAGAGTCAAGGATGAAAACTATACAGTGCTATCAGATCATGCCCACATCTGTGCCAAACTCCCCAAGGGAATACTTTCTGCTTGTTGCTCTTGACCTCAGTTCTCCAGAGAGAAAACCTGAACACAGGCACAAATCATGAACATTCAGAGATCCAGAGAACCTGCCTTGGGTCAGCTGCTGTGGATTCCTTGCTGTCTCTACAGGTATATGGAAGCCAGATCTTTGATCTTTAGGGAGATTTTGTACATTTTCTGTTTTGTAAAAGATGGACCTCAGAATTCCAATATTGTCCAAGGTTCATCTTGCTCCTGAACAGATAGCCATGTCCCTAAGCCCAGTAGTTAATGACCCAATAGGTGTGCTGAGAAGTCACAGGCAAGTCCTCTTACAAGTAATGAAACAACCTGAGTCCAGCAGTGTGTTCAGGGTTCATCAGTATCAGCTGTTGACATGCCCTCTCCCACCATGATACAAAGGCTGAGTATTAACTTGCTCATTTTTATTCAACAAATATTTATATGATGCTGAGTATGTAGCCAGGGTTTCATATAGCCTTTCTTTATATTATAAACACCTGTGCACTCTGCTACCATAATCCCCATTTGAGAGATGGAGAAACTCAGGCACAGAAAGGCTTAATAACTTGTGCAGAGTTACACATCTGGCAAATAGGGACGAAACATTAGAGTTTGGGCTGTCTGGTTCACTTTTCATGTTCCTTACATTCCTGTGTTTCATTTCAGGAGGTAGGGTACAGTAGAATTGTTGAGAAGCCTTATCACCAAGTGTACCTTCCCTTAGAAGAGTGAACATAGCTGCGGCAGAGTGGAGCAATCTTAATCTAAACTCACACAAGAAGAGAATCACAAACACTGTATAGCTGAAATACAAATCTCAGCTCTTTATGTCCCTTCACCAGGTTTATCCAAGGTTTCATAGTTTGGTTTGTGCATAAGAGTAGCTAAGTTCTGTTAGCTACTCCATAAGTGATGTTTAGTCTCAGAAAAATGAAAGGAGTTGGGCAACAGGAAGAAATGAGCCAAGATTTACCTCCACCACTGAGTGGCTCAGATCAATTACTTACCAATTGTACCTTGTTTAAGAGGCATGCCATAGGAAGGCTCCTTCCCCATACCCTTAAGGAAAGTCTGCTACTAGGGTACCAGGCTTTCAAGTCATCCTTGGTGACAAGACCTGAGGAGCAGTGACAGGCTAATCTGCCATATCAAAGTACGGAATCTTAGCTGTGGAGGCTTCTGGCTCCCACTCTGATTTGTTCACTGAGTTTTCTGAGAAGGTAGATTTCCCTACTAAGTTTGGTACTCAGGCAGGGAAGAGGGGAGGGGAGAGACAAATGCATGGAGAAAAGGAGAGAGAAGTGAACTTGCTAAGTCAAATTGATCCATGGAGGAAGATAGACATAAGTCATTTTTTCCTCATAACTTTCACATAAACTCTATCTTAGAAACTCCCAGTCTGCACTTTGCTGAAATGATTGACTCAGCCCTCTGCTTTATTAGGAGGGGAAGACATCTCCAGTGGAAATGTACAGCTAACAGGTGCATGGCAGGGGTGATACATTAAAATGGGAATGATCCACCACTCATTTGCCCAGGGTACTACCGAGCAAGGCCTCCATACTTTCCTAGGGCAAATCCATGTGAAATGCCATGAGTGGCAGAGCTGCCTGCTTACCTAACAGGTGGAAACCTCCCTAAATCACAAGAGAGTTGTAAACACTCTTGCTTTTACCCGAAGAAATCATTGAGAATTTGTTAGGGCAGGATTCCTCATTTGGATTGAGGTACAAAACCCAAGATTTAAGGGCAGGCAAAGCACATTTAGAAATGACCAAGCAAGACTTTGGCGTGCAAAGCAAAGTTCCTTACCTGCATAGAAGTCGGGGCTGTAGACGGCGCCCACAACTGGATTTAATTTCCAGCCTTAAAATAAGCACAGAAGGATTACATCACATTTGAGTCAGGAACTTTCATCCCTTCAAGGTAACCACAGTGAAAACAGACCTAGGTGGTGCACTTGTTTGCATCAGAAAATTTCAGGGCTATGTAAGTTGGACAGGCACAAAGTTGCTTGCCATCTCTGGCATCTATGTTTCTGGTTTTCTCCTAGCTCAGGTGAATGGAATGAAAACCACTGACCGGCTACAGGTGAACCTTGTGAAAAGGAGAATTTGTGCTTAATGATATCAGTAAGTTCACTATCATAATTTCAGTGTTTGTTTTATTTCGTGTAACATTGCTAGATACTGCAACACATATTTTCTTGCATTAAAGTCACATATATTTAAAGTCACATATATTTAAAGTCACATATATTTAAACAGAACTCTTTGAGGGAACTCATTCTTACGATTAGCCTTCCTGATTATGAGCTTTAGATAGTAGAGACTTCCAATTCTGTGTTGTGAGCCTTGTGAATAACAGAGAAAACAGTAGTTTTTCCCCCAGAGATCTAGTGTGGAAAACATTTTAATGCATTCAGGAACTGGAAACACCTTAGTCAGTGCTAAATAACTTTCAAGTCACCTGTCTGTGTCATTAACATTAGTTTCTGGTTTGCTAAATGTTATTGATGGAAATATATCTTAACTGTGAACTCTGGCACCACAGCACACAAGAACATCTATAAACTGGAAAGCACATTATGGACCTGGTTTTTGGTTTGTTTCTGTAATGTCAGCAAAGAATGCTTATGCTTCAGAGCATAAGATTGGTTCTGATTTTCCTAGTAAATCTCTAAGGAAATTATAGTGGTAGAATTGTTTTTCAAACAGGGTCTTATGGAGCCCAGGAATCTCATATAGCCTGGGCTGAATTTGAACTCATTATATAATTTAGGATGGCTTTGAACTTCTGATCTTCCATCCTCCTTCTCTTGAATACACGGATTATAGGTTTGGAATACCATACCGAGTTTATGAAGTACTAGGTATTGAACTCAGTATTCCATGTAAGCCCAGAAATCATTTTCCTAAATGAGCTCCACACTGTGTGCCCCTATGTGTCCCTGTATCTCGGATCAAGGGCCAAATACCAAACACCTTTCAGTAAATAGACCTGAGAATAGAAATGGCTTATTTTTAAAAGATGTTATGGTTTGGATGAGACATGTTCCTTGTTGGCCCCTGTGTTTGAACACTTGGTCCCTAGTAGGTGGTGATGTTTTGGGAGGTTGAATAGCTTCTGGTAAGCTGGGCCTAGTTGGAGGCAGGGGAATGCTAGGTCTTGGACCTTGAGTTATAGGAGCTATACGAGGACCTGACTACAACATGAGAGCCTCTTTAAGTCAACCTTGGGCCTTAATGACTGTGCCATGTCCCTTCTTACCTTGGACCCTTCTTCTAAACAAGGCTTCCCACTCCCAAACAGGGTGATTGAATATCTTTTTGAATCTTGTACTTGCACTGGATGCCACCTTCAACTCTGCATTCTCCCATGAAACCTGATCACCCAGTCTTCCCCTCCAGCAAATGGCACTTCCATCCAACTGGTCACTCAAAATTCTGCTCAGTAGTTGATACCTTACCTTCATATCATATTTGCAATCCATTAAAAAAGGATATTACATTAAACTTGGAACAGGGCCTTCCTTCTTTACAATCTGTTTCTTGCCAGACAAGAGTCATACCAAAGCAAAACAAAGCAATAGCAATAATTAACTATCCCTTGGGGCTAGAGGGATAGCTCAGTGTTCTGTTCTTGCAGAGAAATGAAGCTCAGGTCCCAGCACCCATGACTGGCAGCTTAAAACCACCTATAACTCTAGCTCCAGGAGGCTCTGGAACCCTTTTCTGGTCTCTGCAAGGGTCTGCGTTCACACGCAATTTCCTACATGCTCATAGGTACACACACACACACACACACACACACACACACACACACTTAAAAATCAGTATCTGAACAGTAAAAATAAAAGACCCTTTCATTCTCCTTTCTCCCCATCCACTCTATTTACAGTGGCCAAAGAGTTATGGAAGAAACCAACACATGTTCTGCTCCTCTACTCAGGACTCTCTTCCTTCTTGACTCAGGATAAGCACAAACTCCTTGCACTGAACTAGAGATCACAATCTAAACAAGGTACATTCACTTTGCACCACTGTCTCCATCTCTCTAAGATAAGAGTGTTAACCTTTTTTTTTTTTCTTTTTCAAATTTTTTATTTGAATTAGAAATAAGATTGTTTTAAATGACAATCCCAGTTCCCTTCTCCCTCCTGTCCTCCCCTACCATCCTCCCCAACTAAAACCCTACCTGTCACATATCCTTTCTGCTCCCCCTGGATAGTGAGGCCTTCCATAGGGTGTCATCAGAGTCTATCATATTCTTTGGGATGGAGCCTAGGCCCACCCCCTGTGTGTCTTGGCTCAGGAAGTATTCCTCTACGTGGAATGGACTCCCAATATCCACACCTATGCTAGGGATAAGTACTGAACTACTACAGGATGTCCTATAGATTTCTGAGGTTTCCTCAATGAAATCCATGTTCCTGGGGTCTGGTTCAGTCCCATGCTGGTATCCCAGCCATATGTCTGGGGAGCAAGAGTTCCCTGATGTTCAGGTCAGTTGTTTCTGTGGGTTTCACCAGCTTGGTCTGGACCCGTTTGCTCTTCACTCGTCCTTCTCTGCATCTGGATTCCAATTCAGTTAAGTGATAAGTTGTGGGTGTCGGCCTCTTTAATCTGAGTAAAACCACACAGACTAACTGAACATCCAGAGACTTCCTGGCCTTTCTTGGAGAATGCTTCCCAGGTCTTTTCTAAGTATTAAGGTGTTGTCTGGGTCTTCAATTCCTTTCCAAAACATGATACTCACTGTCAGTGTCCTGCCTTCCCTTAGGGGTACTCATTGATTCATCATTGCCTAGTTAAATTTTCTGCATGGGTGCTAACTGTATCTGAATCTATTCTCTCTCCTTTCCCTTCCTTCCTCTCTTTTCATTATTGTTTGTTTTCTCTATCATTCTTCATTAGATTTGAGAGGAAAGCTGGAAAGATTGTCAAGCATGAGTCCCAGGCACTTAAAAGCATTTGACAAATACTAAATATTCCATAAACCTGGACTTAGAATTATTGTAAAGAATTAGAAGGCACAATGAGCTTTTTGAGTGGTCTTATTTCCTTCTGGCTAGAATTTGGTTTTCTTCTGCCATCCAGATGCTAAGTGTTCTACATGCAACAAAGGACCTCTTAGGGACTGCCATCTTCCAGTGAAGGCAATGAGAATTGCCCTTGAAAATCACCTCTGCACAGACTTGCTCAGACTAACAAACCTCAAGTAGACTTATGTAAATGTATGTAAATCACAGGCAAATGGACTTATCCTTTCTGTGGCTCCTTCTAGTACCTGAAAGAGACCCCTGGGATAACCTTGCTGGAAATACAAGCCTGCACTGTCAGGAAGATGGACAAAATGATCCCAATTTTAATTTCTGAGACAGTTTATGTATGTCCCCAGGCTTCACAACCTCTGAGATTTTCATCAGGGACATTAAACCGTACAATGAGGCTTACAAAAGAAAGAGAATAGCAGATAAAGCCTACCACTCCCAGCCTCCCAGGGTCCCATCCAACAAGGCAATGGAGCAAAGCCCAGGCAGGCAAGTGGAGCTTCACCTCTCCGAGATGAATCTTCAGGGAGTTGCATCAACTCAGACTCCCTGCCTCCCTGAAATGTAGCTTGTCTAGGGTTATGTGCTAGCCTGCTTCAGAAAAATGCTAGGCAAGTTCCCTGGTGTACAAGCCTTGCTAGAGTGAATGTGATAAAACTTTAGAAAATAACCTGTGTACATTCTAAACAGAGACCTCATAGATTGAATAGAGCAGGCGGCAACATCCAAATGACAAACAAAACAGTTATTCATACATTGATCACACTGCTGTGTGGTCGTTTATTTTGAGTCACTCGGAAGTTTTTCTCTAGTTGTTAGTAACATGTATTCATAGCCAACATATAGATTTTATCTAAAGTGTCGGATTTCTGGTTCCCTTGAACCATTGGAAGAAACGGCAACTTTATGTTAGGAATCCCCTCAGATAGCTTTATTAGAGGTGACCAGAGGCTGTGATGTGTGACTGCTCAGACAGTAACAGTCAGCCAAAAAATAAAGCTCCCTGCTGTGGCCTTCTGTTGTTAAACCAGGCTGTTTTTGTCTGCTCAGAGAGAAATCTCTTGCTTTACCCAGAAAAAAAAACAAAAGATAAATGTTTCAGACTGACTTTCAGTCAGGTCCATCATCCTAGATATTTGGGAGCCCAAGGCAGGAAGATCTAAAGTTCAAAACCTACAATGATTATAACATGAGTTCAAGGCTGGGCTGGGCAACTTAGTAAGATCATGTTTCAAAATGAAAAGTAGTAATCTAGCCAGGGATAGAGTTCAGTGGTAGAGACAAATTATAAACAAAACCAAGCTAGAAGATAGGGGCTGTGAAATGCTGTTTTGTGGGCAGGACATTGCTGTAGCACTCAGGAACTTGCACAAAAGAAAGCCTCTAAACATTCAACCCCACATGAGAAGGGACTCATGAGGCTCACCTACCCAGGGGAGCTATGGCAGCCTGACAAAATCATTGTCTTCATTGAAGAAGCCATAATTGAGTTACTCTGACTCAAGTGGGTAGCCCCATACTCATACTCAAACAAGTGGCCTTGCTAAAGCACAGTGTAGCCCAAAGCAAAACCAAACTGAAAACAAAGAGGCAAGGAAGTGGCAAAGATGGAGATTTGGTAGGAGGGTGGTGTAGGGCAAGGCTAAGAGAGGGATTAGGGATAATTGTGACCCTAATGTATCAAATTAAAATAAATTAAACAAATTTTTAAAAAGTACAATCAAATATCCCAAACAATGAAAACCCAAGACTGAGTTTCTCAGATTCCGATTTTTCTCTTGTTTCCCTTACCCAACTCCAGTTAGCATCTGAATCTTGGCTCCTACAATCTTGGCACAGAAACAAGGAGAGAGATGGCCAATTAAGACTGAGGCTTCTCTGTAATCAAATACTATTGATCCACAAGCAGTAGTCAAGCACAAGTCACTATCTCTGCCTCCCACGCTGGTGGTTCTTACTTCCCCCTGAAGATCCCAGATACTGGGATGTTGGTTCCTATGTATGTCCAGCTCCTACTGTATAGAATCATGTTGAAAAGCCCACACTGGAAGCCAAGACCTCCTATTGCCATGGTCTTGGGTATTTTTGCTCTGTTCCAGCCTTGTAAAAATTTCTACAGAAACAGAATCCTATATAACAGCCATGCTTCGAAGACTTTCAGGAAATCCCTCTAAATCCAGTTCTCAATTTGTAAAGTGGATCCAATCTTTGCTACCTAATGCATATAGCATCTCTTCTCCCCCTCTATCCACAGGCATGCTTTTGGGAGAAACAGAGAAAGTCTAATTATGCCTTTACAAACCTTTCGGACTGGTGGGCTTCACAAAACTTCCATATCTCCTTCTACTGTCTTTAATCATATCTATATTAGAAAACTATAGGCACGACTCCTATATCCTCCACACTGATATTAACCACAATCTTCTACAGTAGATCCTCCTTCACACCCTCCCACACATTTCTCATTGCATTACGGCCCATCTTAGGCATCACTGGCAACCCTGAAGCTGTTGTAATTGCAGCTGGATGTATGGCCAAAGGAACTCAAGAACATGACATTGGCAACTAAAGTTTTATTACAATACTTGGGCTTCAAAGTTGGATAGCTTATAACTTTGGAAAAAAGTTTTATTTCTATGGTTTATAAGCCATGCAGCTAAGATGTAAACCTCAAGTTGATTACTTTCTTATTCTAGTATGGCTTCATGGGTATTGACAAATTATCTGTGATGGTTTGAAAAGAAATACTCCTCAGAGGCTTATGTATCAAGGACCTGGTTATCAGGCACTCCATATTGCTTGGGAAGTGATTGGATGAGACATACCATGTTAAACTTCATCAATACATGATGGCATTTGATGGAGAAGGCAAAAGGTGGGAGATGCAGGCTCTCTTAGAAGTTGGCCTCAGGGAGCATGGCTGTGAAGGTTATTCACAGTCCTTGGGTCAAGTCCACCTTTCAGCTTCCCATTTGCCCCATTTCTGATACTTGTGATGCTCTATCTCACAGGTCACATGGCCATGGGCTATGGCAGGGATCCTTTGAAATTATGGGCTAAAGTGGACCTTCCTCCTCTATGCCAGGTAATTTGCCCCAGTGATGCAGAATTTCCCTAACCCAGTCTCTTACAAAACCACACCCTCCTTAAGATTTTAAGGGCCTTTATTTTCCCAATTGAGTACACTATAATTTGTAGAAAATTCTAGTTACAGCAGTGACACTTCACAAAGAAGTGAAAAGTCACTACTTCTATGCTCTCTGTTTCTGCCTCTTCAAAATAGGATGATGATGTTGTCTCTCCAGGCCTCCATCTTGGTGCACTGCCATTGGAATGTCTCATATAATATATAACACACAGTGTTACAGAAATACAAGTATTTTGAATGGGCTTTGAATTACACTTCAAATTCCTATAGGAGATGATTTTTAGTCCTTAGATATGGAATCGATCAATAATTCTTCCTTCAAGATAAATATATATATACATTACATGGCTTATGGAATTACATTTGAGGTTTTTGCTTTGCATTCATATATATATATGCATATATATATGTACATATATATATATTATACATGTGAATAGGCATGTATGTTTGCATGTATGTGGACACGTGTGTGGACTGGGTCATATGGAGGACAGAGTGTGATGTCACTGTGTTTGTGATTTCCTCCACCCCTCTCCACTTTCTTTAATAAGGAAGGTCTCTCACCACAGCTCGATGTTTCATTCACCTAGTCTAAATAGTGCTGTGGCTTGCTCCAAGAATCCCTCATCTCCCCATCTCTCAAATGTGGACTCTGCAGTTAAACAGCCATGTCTACCTGAAATTTCTGTGGGTGCTGGAAGTCTGGTTCCCAGTCCTCATTCATAAGCACTTTACCACCCAGTCCTCATCCAAGTCTCCTGTTTTGTTCATTTGTTTTTCTTTCACTTGGCACATCCATACTTTCATGGGGCATTTGAGCACACCTACAACTGTGCAGTGTACACACCAAAGCATACAATAGCTATGCCATGAATTCCCAAATGTACAGCATTTGAGTGGATGTCTGTGTGAACACTTGCCAGTTGCAGAGCTATGAATTTTATCCAAATAGAAAATCCTCATAAACATATAATTCAGAGATGTTGGGCACTCAGAAAAACTGCTTACCAGTTCAAGGGCATGTCCCTGTTTGCTGAGGCTGGGAAAACTGGACATCAAAATAAATTATTCTTCTGTCCTTTTCATGTTACATTGAGGGTATATACTTGTTTAATAGCATTATGTTTCAAGGTAAGAATACACTGACATAGTCAAATTGGTTGCCACCAGCAGAAAAAAATAGTATAAAAGCTACAAAATGCTAATGTGTTTGCAAAAGTACAAAAATAGAAACAAAAATAATGAAATGTCAGTGAACACTGAAGACCTGACCCAACCTGCGGGATGCTATATAGCCATGAGAGAGAATTAGTTCCATCTCTATGAATCAGCATCTAAAGATATCCAAATTAGTTCATAAGGGTGATTAAAAGCTGTGCATGTCATAATGCTATTTATGTCAGGAATATGTAGATCATACTGTAAATACCATACTGCAAAATGAACTGTAGACAATAGTCTCTAACAGTGGCTTCTTCTCAAGAGAGGGTGCTAGCCAAAACATTTTTCACTTTGTTTCCTCTTTCGTTGATTTCTGTTTCAAAATAACTCTATGCTTCACACATAATTAAAACTTTAAAAATAGGAATTCTATACATTTTCTTATTGTATTTAATGAAATTATATTATTTTTATTTATTTATTTTTTGGTTTTCTAGACAGGGTTTCTCTGTATAGTTTTGGAGCCTATCCTGACACTCGCTCTGGAGACCAGGCAAGCCTTGAACTCACAGGGATCCGCCTGCCTCTGCCTCCCGAGTGCTGGGATTAAAGGCATGCACCACCAATGCCCAGTGAAATTATATTATTTTAAAAAACCTATAAAGCAAAGTAAAAAATACCTTTCAGTCCTGATATCCATCCAACATAGCATTACCATTTTGGCAGAATTACTGCCATCAGCTGAAATTAGAATCCACATTTTTTTTCCTCATCCCATGATTACCTTGACATGGCTCATTTTTTTCCAGATTTTTTTATTTGAATTAGAAACAAGATTGTTTTACATGACAATCCCAGTTCCCTTCTCCCTCCCGTCATCTGACATGGCTCATTTTAATGGGTGTAATATTCTATCAAGTTCTTATACTTTACCTTACTAGATCACTTTCACTTACTTATTTGCTATTTATTTAATATGTATGTATGTATATGAGTGTTGTGTGTGTATACAAATGTACAGGTTAGGAGGCCAGAGGTGGACTTTGAGTGTCCTGGTCAAATGTTCTGTGGCGTTTTGCTTTCTGATATGGGGTCTCTCATTGAAGTTACAGTCGAGTTTATAGTCAGCCTGCTACAGTGATCTTCTACCTCCACTCCCACAAAGATGTCCAAACAAGCAGGTGTTAGCCACATCTGGCTATTATGTGTGTAATGGGATCTGAATTCAGAGCTATTACTTGCAGAATCATCTTTCTAATTAAAGTAAAAACAGAATTCTCCCTCCTTATACCTTAATAGGTGCTTATTTTGAGAAGAAGTAATGGATCAAACTGTGGGAACATATTTAATAGTTCTTCATATAAATGGGAAGCATCTTTTTCTGGTGATGGTGATGATTGAACCCAGAGTCTTATATGTGCTAGGCAAGCACCTTACCACTGAGCTACATCCACAGCCACATGCCAGCCAAATTTTAATGATAAATCCTGGGAAATATTCCTGGTAGTCATAGAAATTCTTTGTCCTAAAAGAGTCTGCAGTAGACCTCCATAGATGTGCCTGGCCCCATGGCACTCAGGAATATGTCCATGGGAGAAAATAACTTACTCAGACAGCTCCTTTCCCATGGAGCTCAGCCATCACAATACTTTAACAACCTAGAAGTCTGAAAGCCAGAACCAAATTTTCTAACTACACTTCCAGGAATGGCAAATTATTAAGTATATATGGCTTTGAAAAATAAACAAACAAAACTATTATTCTCCCCTAAATTTGCTAGAATTTCAAAAAATTGAATGATCAAGAATAGTTATGTAAATATCTGCTATGCAAGGTATCTGCTATGTGACCCTGGTGAGGGTCAACCACTGCTCTAGAGAAATGGGATGGCTGAACTAGAAAACTATATCTGCTTTGCTGTGAAAAATCATCTCTAGGCTGTTGTTCACTGTAGCCGGTCAGCAATGAAATGGTAGCCAGGTCAGGTCAATGTGGTATATGACACCCATGAACTCTAATCATCTGTAGTTACTTGCCCAAGTCCTGCACAGTTAAAAAAAAATCTAGCATATGTGGGCAGGAGGATCCTCAGGCCCTACTGCTAGCTGAGGAGTTGTTGGCAGTCCATGGCTTCTGGGCCTGGGAAGGTCACTTTTCTTTACGAATTTGACACCAGTGCATCACCCCTAGTTGAAATCAGTGGGCTAACATGAATAAGTAAGACATGAAGTTGGATGGGAGATATGATGTGGATTCTTTAGAAGGATTGGAGGGGGGAGTTGGGAGTACATGTGGTAAGATAAAATGTATCCATGTATAAAACTTTTCAAAGAATAAAATGAAAAAGAAACAGATTCCCTGGTTAAAGAACACTGTGGACTTGTAGGCAAAGAAGGTATCTTGTGGTAGGCAGGTATCTACTTACCATTGGTGTATGGGTTGACAGTCTTTTTATTAGTCATTACACGTGCTGTTGCGTTATTAACCTACACACATAGAAAACTCAAGTGAGTTTGGATGCCAAGGCCAGCCCATGATTCAATTAGTTGCATGCATTATGACTGTGATTACTTATTGAAATCAAAACCAAGAAACAAAAACTTAAACAAAAACTGAAATGCATTTTAATTTACAAATGGCAATAGGTGCATAACCCCAAAATCATACATTTTTATAATTACATTTACTTCATAACAGATTTAACTTACAAATCATTTCAATAAAGCAATGTCATCTCATTTAAAAGTTTAATAAAGAGACAGTAAAAGCAAATTAAAAGATAATGCATAATTGAAGATTTAAAAGCATGCGTGTGCTCCATGGTAACACAGAAACAAGAGATAGGTTTTTAAACAGAAAATAAAGTTAATATGAAAGGGGCATGCAGTGGAGAAGGGAGAGGAGACAAAGTACAGGGAACATAAATGTCAAAGAAAGGGACAGACAAGTTTAAGCCGTGTGCAACACTTTGGGAAGGGAAACCATGGGGAAGCAACATCTAGCATTCAACACTTGGAACAAGAGCCTTTTACATTGCAAGAATTAACGAATCATTCAAGCTTTAAGGTCACAGCTAACAAAAGGATAAAAGAGAGGGTGCATTGTGTAACACAATATGGAGTTAACGATCTGAGTAAGATGTGCACTGGTCATAACTCAGTCCAGTCAGAGCCTCTCAGGCTAGCTTAGAACGTACACTCAGTTACAGGCGTACCAAAGACCCAAAAAAATAGAGCATCAAGAAAACTTAATACAACAAGTCAAAAAAATCCACGTGGTAGAGAGATATGTATAGAGATATATCAGCACTAAATACGTGAAGCGGCAGATGGACTTCATCACTTACCATTCACCACCATCGCCAGCATGGGTTTGTATACAGTTACCATGGTTACTGAGGGTTTGGTGAGGGGCCTAAGCGTTACCGTCGAGGGGGGAAAATAAAAAGGCAAAATATGCGACATCTTACTCCAAAGACTAAAGCATTTTTAACTGGTAATTTTTTTCTTTTCAAGTTTTAACAAATATGACCCTTTGATTGTGTTGAAGAGGAACCCAGTGGTACAAAGGGCAGGTGCTGAATGTCAGAACGAAGGGTCTACATTTCCAATTGACAGGGGCCATGACTTAAGCGGGAAATGCTGATTGCCTATTCAATGTCTAATCATTGAATGCAGAAATTGAAGCTGGCTTTTGTTTTTTTAACAGCAAGATTTAATGACAAGTGCCTCTCACTTTTTCTGTTTTAATATTTTGAAATGTCATTGCCTTGGAAATTTGGTCTAATTTGCAAACCACTGTGGATCCCTCTTCAACCCTAAAGTGGACTAAAAAGGAAACAAAATAAAACAAAACTTGATATATATTTGGTTTTGTTTGGATACTGTGTCCTCTTTGGAACCTATTGCACCCATTGTTCATAAAACATGGAAAATAAAATAAAACAAACAGACAGAACCTTTCATATTAGCCTCCCTTTCATCTCACTTTTTTTTGCCATCTAATCTCCAGCAGTAATATAAAGAATAATGTAAAGTAAAATTTAACAGAAAGTAAGGCCAGTTTTCCTTTTTATATATAAATATATATATATAAATATATATAAACAATGAGAAGGGAGTAGGGTCACACACGAGACACCAATGATGCACCTGGAAGGACAAATGAGCGTGAAGCAGACATTTATAAAAAAAAAAAAAAAGAGGAAAGGAAAATATTTTGGACATGCACCTCGATTTTACGGCCCTCTACCACGGTACCGTGCAATTTCTCCCTCGCCCTGTCCGCATCCGCACTATTTTCGAAAGTTACGAAACCAAATCCCTGCATGCAGGAGGGAGAAGGAGAACAACATGCATATTATTATTTCAGTCAACGACCACTTGGTAAAGTTCTCTCGCTTTCATTGCTATTTCTTGTCCTGGCTTCAGTTCTGTAACATGCAAATTAGAGAAATTATAAGAACACTACGATGTGCAGTCATTAAGCAACAAATGTGAACGAGATTTTTTTCCTGTCACCAGTTAGCTGGAACCCCTAAAGAATTCAAAGATGGATATGGAAACGAAAACCAAACCAACAAACAAACAAAAAAAATACCTTTCTAAACATCACTATGAAAGAAAAGAAATCAAACAAAAAGAAAACGAGATCAAAATAAATGTACAGTGTCTTCACAGAGAATAAATGAAATAATGAGGAAAAAGAAAGGGAACCAGTTTCTTGACATGCAAATTAAAAAATCAAACAAAATAAAACGTGTGCACGGGAATTCAACAGTGAATGCTCAAGTCCTGTCACATTGCCTACGGAGTCATGCTGCGTGGATTTAAGAACAGTTCTTCTTCATGCAATTTTAAGGTTATTCGATTCTGTCAACTGTACAGCATTTGCTTCTCAAAAATAAAAGTAACAAGCCTAAAAAAGGAAAGACCTTTTCTTATAATAAATTTTGAACTTGTGGTTCTAATAAACAAAAGAAAAATCACATGAAATGAATAGAAACAAACTTTTTTGGTTAACAATGTAGATAAGCAAGTACCATTCTACATTTGTACTTTGCCCTCCCCCTTCCCCAAATAATAAAAGGCTTTAGAATTTGACCTTTTATATTATGTTATTAACCAAAAAACAAAGTTCTAGGGCTCTAGGCTGGCATTCACTTGCTATGTCAACAGGTACCAAAGTAAAGACATTTCCTAGATGGGAGAATCTATGTACCATCTGAACCCATCCTCTTTGACTGATAAACATCAAATACAGCCCTTGTTTGCATCACAAGTACAGTTTTTGCTTTTAATATTTCAGCCTCTAACACCAACCCCAGTATTCCATTTTTTAAAAATCCATCTTCATTCTTTACTGACACTGTTTCTATGATGAGTATAGAAAAATCTGACATACTATTCCTAAAATCCTTAAATATATTTCTACATTTTGTTTAGAAATATATACACCAACCTTTGGAATAATTCCAGTATGTTGGGTCCACATTGGTATAAGTAGGAAGCAATTTCATACTCTATCAATTTTCACAGAATAAACCTAACACACAGTCAAGACAGTTATTTGACCCTCATACACGACATTGAGCTTTACAAATAAAATATGCAATAATTACACTTTAGAGTGGTAATAGCCATCTGATATTGGACAATAGTCCTATAATGGAGCCTATGAGAAGCTTATAATTGAGGGATGTTTGGAGAAAGCTGCTGGGTGCACCAACAAGGAGACTCTATAAAACCAGTCTTGTCTATGGAGGGTATGAGCTGTGAATGTGTTAAGGTACTGGGAGATAGATATTTGTCAATGTCACACACAGAAAAAAGATCATATGTATTTACTTGACTGAATGACTTTGCATTTCTTTTCTCAGAATAAGGATTCATAAGTAGGGCATGCCTGAGTGATCCAATTAATAAACAGAGATACACTCCACAAAAGTTTTGTGTGTTGCCTACCTAATCTGGGTGCTCAGAAATACTTGCTAATAATATTCTGGTTCTGGTGAGAAAGGAACAAAAATATTCTTTTATGACAAAGGGGAGAATTTGAGGGAATGGGTTGTTTCATTTGACAACTCTATCTCCTGGCTAGTGGTTCCAAAATTCAGTTGTACATCAGCAGGGACAGAAGCATATTACATATTTTGATTCCTGGTCCTCACTTTGTATTTGCCACATCAGAAACCCTGAGTAGAGACTAGATATCCTTTTGCCTCACAAAACTAACTACATGCCCCCATAGCTGGATTTCCCTGATTTCTCTCTTTATTACATACCCATAGAAAGAAGATTTCATGTGCGAGAATAAGCAGAACTTTATACTAGTGCTTTGAAAAATGTCGTTCATGGGGCAGTGTGAGTTTAGGACTCTCTGATTTTGTGAATAACTGTAGGGGGGCACAGTAAAGATCATGTGCCCAAGATGTCTCAGCCATGTTCTTTCTCTCCTGTAGGCCTAAGTCCATAAGCATCCAAGTCAGCCGCTGAGGAATCATTAAGAGAAATAAGGGATTTGTAGTCTCTCATCAGGCAAGAAACGATAATCTAGTTTCTGCCTTGTGGAGGGAGGGAAGGGGGCTGTCATTTTTATTGTCACCAGACATCTCTATTACCACAGCACTGCAAAGAACACAGTTGTAAACACTGTCTTAGGAAACTTGTTCTGAATGCCAGGCAAACCCACTGGCTCAGATGCATGCTATGCACACGAAGAAGAGCTGAAGATGGAGTGGAAGCACCTGTGCCATTCTAGAAAATGTGCCCAGATTGAGAAAGGAAAGGCCCTTGCATAGTTCTGCACATTTCAAGGTGTTGGATGATTTGTGAAGATTAGCTGCAAAGCTGAGCTTGTCCTAGAAACGATTCCCTAAACATTCTGCAGCCTTGGATGATTCTATCTTCCATCCAGTCCATAATATAGCTTGCTTGGGTCAGAAAACTGCCATTGGGACTGGAGATGTGGTCCGCCGGCCCTCTCAATTGTTAGACTTTCTATTTCTAAGGTTCTGGTTCCTGGTGTCTCAGAAAGTTTGTTGCAGAAAGTAGGAGTTAAGATGAGGTAGTTGTTTCTGTTGGCCTTTCCCATGGATAAGTTCACATCTCAAGGAAATAGTACTGCATCATTCTTAAAAAGATGAATTTTTTGCCTTTGTCTTGGAATGAATGAAATTTCTTTGATTTGAAGAGTTAGGGGCAAAATGAAATGATGATGTGGAATAATGAAGACTGTAAGATAACAGGCCATACAGAGCCAGGCATAGCAGTGTAAGCCAGTCATCCCAGATAGGTGCAAGACTGGAACAGGAGAGTCACAAGTTCAAGGTTTGCCTAAGTGAGACCCTGTCTCAGACAAAAAAATATAAAAGGGCCTTGGGGTGTAGATCAGTGATAGGATGCTTGTCCAGTATGTCTTAAGTTTGATTGCTAGTTACTGCATGATTAAAAAAGAAAAAAAAAACAAACAAATGAAAGGACAGAAGGAATAGGTAGAAAGAGGGATAAGAGATGGGAAGGAAATATAAGGAAATGAAGAAAGGGCAGAAAGGACAAAGGAGGAGGGATGAAGGGAGGAGAGAGGAAATGAGGTGAGGTGAAGTTCAGATTGTGGTCAGTGTCCTTCCACTGAAAGACATACCTTCTCAGGCCTACCTGGACAGGCCTGGCGGTCAGAGGTTAGAGAAGAAAGCTTCTTGTGGAGGGGGTCCGTGCTGCATAGATGGGCATGAATGACTTGGTGAACTAAGATAGAGTCCTAGAGCACGGCTTGCTGATCTCAAAGCCTTTCAGAGAATCATAAATTTACGTTCTGTATCCTGATCACTTCCCCTTCTGGGGTCTACGTGTTTAGGTAGTGGATTTTCTTTGGGGCACTCATGTGGACACCCTGCTTTGCATTTTAAATCAAGATTCCAAAGCTACCTGTAAGGTGGAATGAACACACTCTATTCAATATGATAATCCAAGTTCTCCCATATCCAATGCAGAAAACACATATTTAATTGAAAGAGCCAAAGAAATTAATTTTCCTAATGACTAAGGAGTCTCCCATTTCACATCTCTCCAGTGACTTTTACAAATACAGCCCCTTCTCTCTGTAAGATATTATCTTTCCCCTTCCTTCCTTCCTTCCTACTTTCCTTCCTACCTTCCTTCCTATCTTCTTTCCTTCCCTTCCTTCCTTCCTCTCTCCCTCCCTCCCTCTCTCCCTCTTTCACCCTCAGTTTATTTCTTTCTCTCAAAAAGCATCCTTTCCTCCAACTACATGCTTAGAATTTCAACAGCCCCTCATGTCATGGAAAAATGCAGTGTATTTTATGACAGATGTTCATGACTGGTCTTTCCTGATATTCAAGAAAAGCTAAGGGCTAGAAGCATACCTGTCTTGCTCAAGAATATTCACCTGGAGAGGAACTAATCAATAAATACATATGGGCATATACATATATACAAAATCAAAGACCAAATTGTATATTTCTTAGGTTTGATAGAGAACAGCTAAATCTGACTGTGTTCCCAGAAATAAAGCATTTCAGAAGCAAAAGAACGATTTCTCAGTCTCCTAAAAGAATAAATGAATTGTGTAATTCATTACTTCTGCATGCAGTCTGGTTCTGATGATCAAGTCTGTCATTACTTTTGAAGATATGACTTTCCTATAGTATCCATCTATATACAAAATACTCAGACTGTGTCATCCTCACTCAGCTTTGAGTCATCTGCCTCAGGAAGTGTCCTATGGAGAATAAAGGAGGAGAGTTCTTGGTCCTTTGGGGCCTCTGGTTTCCTGGCCAACTGAGACAGCAACTGATGGAAATGAGCTTCTAACAATTGTCCCATTTCTTGAGGGCAAGGATGGAAATGCCTTCTAAATAAGGCCCTTTCCCTCAAAAGATGTCAAATATGACAACTATCCTTGTGCAAGATGTTGCCCCAGGTAGCATTCCCAGATAGACTGTCTCAGGGACTTTCCAGTGACATGGCAACACCCAGCATCCATATCTGAAGGTAGAGTGTTCCCACCCAGAAAGACAAAAGGCCAGTTTGGATGTTTTCTAATCTAAGAGAAAAAAGGACAAAGGGAAATAAAAGAGCCCAACAAATCCATGCTGTAGATGTAGAAATGGAAATAACCTTTTCCCTGAAGCCACCAGGGACAGGCTAATCAAGGAAATAATGGGAAAAGTCCTAAAAATAGCATGCCATTGTACTTTGAAAAAGCCAACACTACTGAAGTGATGTCTCCAAACATCTCTCAGAAAGGAATCAAACAGCTTTCTTCAACTGACAAGTATCTTACTGAACAAAATGTAAATTAAATATAAATTTAAAACTGAAAACAAGGGAGAAAAGGAGCCCACAAGGCAATGCTATGATAAAGAGCTCACAAGGCAATGATATGATGACAAAGAGACTCAGAAACAGGATCGGGACACATTCTACCTCATCTTCACTAGTTTTGCCAAGAATCCATCAGGCCCAAGCAAGAAGGTTTAGCCTTGAATATATCTTTCTCTTAGTGCACCTTGCTCCACAGGTATAAAAGTATTTGCATCAATTAATTCCATACAAGAAACAGCTAACTTATTCCCCTAACCCTAGTTCAGAGGTCAGACTATAAGAATGACTGAAAAATAGCTAAAGTTGACAAAGAATAACCAGGTCCCTGAATGAGTATAAGTGAAAACTTAACAATTGATGGACTTTCAACCCATCTGGCATATTACAATATCATTTTGTATATAAAGCAAGTCCTGGAACTTTATTTGTTCAATTTGATCAACACTGTCCTCAGTCAATGTTAAATCTACCTAGGATGGAGTGGGCAGAGGGAAGATGCTATAAGGAACAGTAAATCACAAGGTTTGCTTCATAGTATGGTTACTGTGCCATGTGACATGCTACAGAACAGTGACACTTAGGGGGCCTGCTGGGTACCTATTGTCCTGTGTTGCCCACAGGAGGGTCATTATTAAGCCCAGCCAGCATTTCTCTGTATCTGATAGTAATATTCCCAATATTCACCCTCAGAGGTTAAGGATGGAAGGAAGATGGAAAATGTGTAGATACTGGAATCTTTTCTCAGAGCCTTCCATGAATACTTGTCAGCTCTAGGAAAAAGCGATTTCAACATTGGTTTCCTGGTGAGAAAATAAACTCAACACAATACCACACTACAAAAGAAGGATCTATAACATACTAATGAATAAAGGTATATTCAAAAGGTTGGTGTATATGAGAATTCTCTCCTCTGCAACCCAGGAAAAGAACTGCACTTTATTAATACAGAATAATCACATATTTACCTGCTCATGAGACTATCAACTCACTTTTTAATATAAAGAACATAATTATCACTGAAAAACAAAAAATGTAGCAACATCATTATTTTTTAAGCATGGGTAATTTTCCTCTGGAAACTTAAGATATATAATTTTATCTCTCTATTATTTAAACCAGCAATTAAAATTTAACTCCTATACATTTTAAATGGAACCCAATGCATTTCCCAACATTAAGGAAATGGGAGGTGGTCTCTAAAGAAATTCCCACCAAAGTGCAATTCTCAGGGTACTGACTCAAACAGTGCAGTTATTTCCCCTTACTCCAACAGACATGTCACAACGAGCTAAGAAATTCCAAACTGAATCAAGTTGCTTACCTTCGAGCCTCGCTCATTAAAAATAATTTCAACATCTAATATTTTACCAAATTGCTGCAAAGAAACAGAGATATCTCATGAGCAAACAGAGAAATCAGATAAATTATACAATATACACCAGTAATTACTCCTCAAGTCAAAGAGCCTTTCCTGAGTTAAAAGTACACATTTTTTATTTTGTTCAGTTACTAAATGACAATGTGTAAAATGAAAAAATTCCAGAATATTCATTATCTTCAATTTATCTTTTTTCTAAAAGGTGAGGTACACTATGAGGGCCCAGGACAAAATATTAACCAAGACGTTAATTCTCTCTCTCTCTCTCTCTCTCTCTCTCTCTCTCTCTCTCTCTGTGTGTGTGTGTGTGTGTGTGTGTGTGTGTGTGTGTGTGTGTGTACTTTCCCAGGCACTGAGCAGCAGTGATAACAAATGGCTAGTCATTACCTATATAACATTTCTACCAGCTACTGAGATAAACATCCTGGGGAGCTGAGATTTTGATAATAAAATACCCAACTAGAATGTGATGTCGATAGTTTGTAGCTCTGAGCTCACAGCAAAACCAGGAGCAACCAGACCATGTGAGAAAAGTATAAACACAAAAGAGAGGCCCTGTGTCCCAGGTGCATCATAACCTTTGGGTTATCTGCAGAGCCAGGATGGGTCTGGGAGGATGCCATTCCCCTGCCCCAGATGACAGTCTGTACTCTTGAATAAACTGTCTCTGTAAAATGAGCTGGCTCTATAAAAGGTCCAGAAACAAAGTTTTAGTTATCAAATACCCAGACAGGCAAAAAAAATGAGCATTGACATTTAAATTTCAGACTTTATAGGCTAAGTAACATTTGTGACCTGTAATTTTATATTACATGTAAGTAATATGTCCCACATTATATTTAGGATGTAAGATAAACACTTGCTGTTTATATAAAATTCAAATATGACTATTGTGTCTGTGTGCTAGTGACAAAATGTTAAATTTGGCAGTCTTAGTGAGTATTGCCCATCACACATTTCTTGACTGGGGCACCTGAAAGCATGAGCACCTGATAACCAAGAATCCTCTCTACCTTAAGGTTCTTGTGTTTCCCAGATGTCATAGAAAATGGAACAAGTGTTTCATGCTTATAGTTTGGTCCCCATAATGGTGGTGGAAATGGGTTGTTGTAAAGCAGGCCACCTGGCCCAGGGAAGAATAAGATGGGAATTTTGCCTCAATGCACAATGGAAGGGAAACACCCATTTTAATGACTAAACAAAAAAACCAAAAACCCCTGGAATGCATTTCTGCAGATTATCTTTCCTTCCTTTCTTCCTTTTTTTTTAATTTCCCCCAACATATATCCCCATTGATTATTTTGGAAATCATTCTTGATTCTCATTCCTCCCAGGTTTACCTTCCTGCCTTTGTCCCCCACCCCCAAAGAAAAGAATACATGAAGGTCAATTTGTGTTTTCCATATACTCATTGGTGAATGGTGAAAGTCCCACTGTTTAGCCCCTTAAAGATAACTGAGGTTCCCCCTCCCAGATTCCCACCAGAAGCCACCATCCGTGAAGAGCTACACTTCAGGATCGTTTTGTTTTCATTTGGTGCTTTCCTGTCATGCTCTGCCTGCTTGTGCATTCTGGGTATTCACTGCAGCCTTGTTACCTAGGGAAAGTCTGTGTCATTCTTTCATCCCTGGATGGGACTGTTAAGCAAAGCTCTATAACAAAAGATGGCAGTGTTGGGATGGGGGTCAGACCAGACCAAAAGGGGCAAAAGAATAATAATTCCAAGAAGTTGGAATAGTTCCCCTGACCAACATGTCCAAGTCTGTGAATTGCTAGAAACTTGGAGAATCAATGGCAACAGATGTCTGATAGCACTGAAGAAAATAATTATTATTTAAACATTTTCATATTTATTTATTTGGTGTGTGTGTGTATGTGTGTGTGAGGTCTGCCCGCATGCATGGGCCAAGGCATGCATGTAGAGGTCAGAGGACTAGGGGTTGAATATAGTGTGTTAAGCTTGGCAGTAAGTATCTTGTCTCCTGAATAATCTTTCTAGCCCTTTAGAACATTTGTTGTGCCAGTTTTCATGGCAGAGAAAAAAAAACTCATTAAAAACAGACAAAGAAAACTTTCCAATGTGACAAATGAAGAATTGGCCATTCAGAGGTGAACCAAGATCCATAGTAAAGAATCCGCCACTGTGTAAGCACTTGAAAAGAACAACTGCTGCAGAATATTCTATTCCCACAGATGCTTTTATATTTATTTCAGGCATCAGAGCCTAGAAGCACATATATTTATGGAAAGAGAAGGCTGAAAAAGACATCTTCCGACACCATGAAGCAAATGTCACCCATGGAACACTCCCTAAGCAGTCAACACAAAACACTCCCCTTAAAATAGGAACTGGATGAGACGAACCGATCAGAAAGCCATCTTAGCATGTGTCATTCCCTAAATGAAACAATGACACCATATGCCCTGGAATGATCTCCAATGTTTGCTTCCTTGGCAGGTGGCACTGAGTGGATGGTTCTGGAAGCCAGTGAAACAAGCCATAAGAAGAATGCTGAAGCAAGCCCATTTTCTGAGACAGTTGTGTACTATATTTATAGTATCAACGGTTTAATTGAGAAGTTTGGTACTAACGATGTCAACACAGCTGGCACATCTTCAGTTTAAATAGACATGACTCGTTTGCAGACATAACTAGCATTTGTTTGCTCAACGACAATGTTCATGAGCACTGAGAAGTGTCTTGGACCCACATGAGGTACCTCAATGGCTGTATCAAGACCAAAATCCCGAAGCCTATATGTGTGTGCTTGGGAAAATATGTACTGAGCAGTTTTAGATATCCTTAGATCAAATAATATTTCCCAGAAAAGTTGTGAAGGATGTTCAGCAGCTACAGCATAAAACCTGAAAGTAAGGGTTAGTTCAGTGTGTGCACTGAGACTAAAGACAGGCTTCACACTGGTGCTTCGTTTTTAAAACTTTTTTTTTTTTTTTTTACTTTTGGGGTTATAATTTAATTACATTTCTCCCTTCTATTTCCTTCTTCTAAACATGTTAGACATCCTTCCCCAATCTTCATATTTGGATTTTCAAGATAGGGTTTCTCTATATAACATCCCTTAGCTGCCCTGGAACTTGCTTTGTAGACAGGGCTGGACTCAAACTCACAGAAATCTGCCTTCTTCTGCCTCTTGAGTACTGGGATTAAAGGTGTGTGCCACCACCACCCTGCTATATTTCTAAATATAACCCATTCAGTCCCTATAATGGCACTCTGTTTGTATGTTTTCAAGGCTGGCCATTTGGCACTGGACAACCAACTGGTGTGATATTTTCTCAAGTAGTTTTTAAGGTGGTTTCAGTACAGAAACAGTAGGCACTGTGACATCTCCTCGAAATGCCTTTACTATTCCTAATGTCCTGTTTTATGGAGTGTTGTATTAACATGAAAGGTTCAAGGTAGTTCATCTGCACTGTATTCACCAAAAGGCACCAACCATGTGTCTTTTTCACAGATAAACAGTTATGTGTTTTGTCTTTATGACTACAGACAGAAGTGAATTGATCCCATTCTTATCCGGTGTGTCTTTACTTATTGTGTGTATATGTACATGTGTGTTTCAGTGTGTGTGCAGATGCATGTGTTTGTGCAGGTGCCCATGTTTGCACATGTGCCTGTATGTGGAATCTAAACAACAACTTCAGGTGTGCTTCCTCAAGCAAGATCATTTTGGCTTTAGATAGGGTCTCTCACTGACTTGGAGCTTGCCAGGTGGTCTAGGCTCACTGGCCAGCAAGCCTAGGGATCCTCATGTCACCTTTCCAGTGCTGGGATTATAAGCATGGGTCACCACTTCTTGATTTTTTTCACATGAGTCCTGGGAATGAATGCTGGCCTATGTGTCCACATTCCAATCACTTTATAACTGAATCATCTCTCCAGCTCCTGGAACACCTTGATTTTGATAACAAAACCAAGAGGCTGTGACATCAAGACCATGCTACAAACTGCAGACTGCCAACTGATCACACTGTTTTTAAAATGAAACAATTTTGTTGTGCCATGTGTTATACCAGGGGTCTGGATGTATCATAGTCTATTCTCATCTCAAACCCGGAAACATTTAAATTTTGAACATTAACTTATATTCCATATTTTTCATTCAAGAGCAACACATTGTAATTAATTTGGTTGTAATCCACAGAGTCCTTTTATTATGTCAAGAATTCAAGTGTAGAACTTTGATATGAAAATAGCGATGTCTCCAATCATGACTGCCTGTGAGCCACACTTATAAATTTGGCAGATAAATAATGATACAACCTTTTCCTTAATCAAGGAAGTAAATTCCCTGACTACTTGCCAGACACATTAAATAAAATACACTTATTGATCACTCTCTAAATATGGGCAAAAAGAAATTCAAATAAGTTGTTACATGCTTGCGTGCCCACAATTTTGGATGGTGAGGCAGGTGGATTGATAGTTTGAGGCCAGCAAGTTTTAAGCGAGTTTTTGGCTGCATGGTGAGAGATTGTCTTGAAAACCAACAAATAAAACATAACAAAATGAAAATTAAAATGTGAAGAAATGTGAGCTTCAGGGCTGTCCACACTATCCTCAGCAGACCTCAAGGGGCACACAGACAGGGCTGAGAGCAATAACTTTTCAGTTCTCCCATGGAAACATCTGGAATAAGTGCTCCTAATGACTACTCTGTCCCCATTCACTCACAGAGCCATGGATGATTTAAAAAGACTCTAGCTACTGCTTTGTATATTGTAGCATGCACTTCTCACCCAAGAAATGAATATACCGCCTTAAAAGACAGCATGCAAAGAAATGCAATGTGAAGCACAAGTTAATGTCAGCTTTGGAAGAAGTGTTCCCTGACAAAGATGAAAGTAGAGAATGGGAAACTATAATGCCTGTCTCTCTGAAAAGTTACAAAAAGCACAAATTAAAATAAAACATGAGATACCTATCAGGACCATGTGGGGAAGTTGGAAACTGCCAAGTTCTAGGTAATTTGGAAAAAGAGGGTACTTTGTGTCTTGTTATGTTTTTGACATTGAAATTTCTGTGCCTTGTTTGAACAATAGTCAAAGGAGAAAGGAGGTACAAAGATCTTTGTGTTTTTCTCTGTTACTGTCCTCATCTAACCCCATGGCCAAGCAAGGAGACAGAAGACAAAAGAGAGCAAGAAAAAGAAACACACTGTTTCATGGCCAAAGGCTTGGAGCAGCAGCTAACTGAGACTAAAACATAGTTGCTTACAGTACCTAAGATCTGAAAGAGGAAACTGTGCTGAATCCCCTAAACTCTGCCATGGGGAGCTAAGCAGAAAGTTCCAGATGCCTCTCAGTATGATTCATGCTGCTAAATGTATCATATAATAGAACGGCTTTGTGACCACGAGTGTTCATCTTAGGAAAATTCCATTTCTTTAAAATAGCAGTTGTAAAAAACCAAAGAGGACTCCCAAGTTACTGCAAGTGGTCCATGAGTCCATATGGTCCAATAATTTTTATAGATGAAATCCACACCACACAAAATCCACACATACTCTTTAACGTAGACACAGATGTTGTTTGTGATAAGTAGAATTAATTTCAGTGTTCATGAACGTATCCTGCATTCCCTTAACTGACAGATGCTAAGGGTATATCTATCATCATATCAAATCAACATCTTGTTAGCTGGCTGCATGAAAATTTTGACTTAAAAGAAAAAACAAAACCAGTCTTTCTGAAACAAATAGATTTTGATCTGGGTTTACTACCACGTAGCATAACACATAACAAATTCTTTCTCTAGACCATCTGCCCTAACCCTATAAGACACAGAGATTCAGATATTAACATATACATCAACTCATCAGTGTGACTTCCAGCTGCGAGTATTTTGACTCCTTCTCTGACTTAGCCCTGTAGCCTCAGGTAAAGTTCAAGATAATCAAAAAGTCCAGGGAAGAAAATAGACCCTTGAGGGTGAGAAACTGGTTTGGCTGCCTCACATGTCACCATGAAAGATTTTGAGAATGGTCATTAAGAGAATCTAGTTCAAAGCCAACATCACAGTGACACTTGATGAGCAAAGACAGACCGAATAGCAAGACATCCCCTGGCTTGACATGGCAAAGAGAATATAACTCTTCCAGCTACCCATCAGTCAAGCTGGGTCCCACTGCTTTGCACACACTTAACCTCGACTCTAACTTCGAATGCTCTGCACTTTTCAAAGTCATCTTTGACCTGAGAGTGCCCGAGGGTATCTTCGTTCTGCAAGAGTTAGAGGGCTTAACTCAAGGTTATTACCAAATGAGAGAGCGATAAAAGTGCAAAAGTTGACCTTTTCCTCTGAAATGTCAGGATTCAAGCCTGGGTATCTAAAATATTAGGATGCCTGCTCTGCTTTTGTGTCACATGCATACTTGATAAGCATCGTGTGTGTTAAAGAAAGAAAAGGTCCAAGCTCTCCCCACAAATCATGGAAACCCTTAGTAATGAAGCAGAGCTTCATCTTCATGCAGAGAATAAGATGAGTTGTTCTCACAATGAGACATCTGACCTGGCCTCTTCTAACCACTGTTGTGATATTTGCAGCTCTCCACAAACCTTTAGAGGAGTCTCCAAGCAACCCACCTTTGTTCTGAGTCAAATGTTAAGGATGTAGTTCTTTGGTCAAATGCACAGATGCTTGCTATTACTACTGGGATGTCATAGATACACAGAGTGACTACATTTCAAAACACAAAACTTGATCTGAGCCTCATCAAAGCTATGTCCTATGGCATAGCTGAGACCAAATGAATAGTATGCTCTTCCCTTCCTGGGTGGACTGTTCAAACATCTTCCCAAGAAATAATCAGGGTCATGATGATCTGTGAGAAAGCGAAGCTGTCCTTTCTTTCCTCCGGGTGAGTGGTGGCTTCTGGCTGGTTCTGCTTCACTATGGTGCCTAGACAGGCTGCCCTTTGCCACCCTTGGTAGCATGGTAAATACCCCTGAAGCTTCATCTAGGAAACTGTACACTGCAAGAATCAAATCAGATTTAGAAACTGGTAGTCTTTTGATGGTGGTGGTGGCTGATTTTGAAGACTCAGCTTTCTGTAGAACTAGCCATTCACTGCAGCTGCAGTGCCCAGTGCCTGGGGAAAATGGGGATCGAGCCATTCATGGGTCATTCTTTTAGGTAAGCAGGCAAGGGCTTCAAAATTTGTTTCAGTTATAATGTGAGTTACTGGTCTGCTGGATTTGTGATCATCAATGGACCTTATCATCAGTGGTTAATAGAGGAGTTTCCTTTCCACTTGCCTTTTAAGTTACTTACTAGAAGAAGACCAAATGGCAAAGAAGAAACCCTATGTGCACAACTAAAACAAGTAAATGTATCCTGTCACCCCTAAGGGATTCTAGCTACCATAGACCCAAGTATCAGCTGCTAAAATGCCTTCATCCCACAAGAACATTCTACCTTAGAATGATGAGTTCCTGGAACTCCCAAAAGGAGGGAAACTGAGGACAAAGGTAGTACTTACACCAAACATTTGTCGGAGGTCTGGATCCCGGAACCTGAAGGGGATGTTGGACACATGCAGCCGCTTGGGCTGGGACTTGTTTTCTGTGTTTTCAGAAGGTTGTGTCTGGGGCTGGCCATCAGTTGGTGCTGCATCATCTGTCTGCTAAAGGAACAAGAGGAAAGCAAAGTAGCTGTAAGTACTCTGTCTTAATGTCCTCCCCCTTTCCCTACTGGCAGGGTGTTGTTGGACAAAGCTTCTTGTTTTTTTATATTTAATGGCAAAAGTATGTTTTGAATATCCACTGAGTTCCCAAACAGGGGTCTGAGATTCCATATCAAGCAAAACAGTCAAAAGTCCCTGGTTTCATGTGCTGTAACTCTCGCAGTAGGAAGGCATAATAAAAACCACTCATAAATAAATGTATAGTTGGGAAGAAGGAGATGGGAAACAGAAGCTAGGAGGGGCTGGGGCTCAGGGTAAGTAGTGGATGCCTCATCAGAAATAGAGTAAAGATTATTAGAGATAAGAAAATGCATCCTTTAATGCTGCCTGAATTCTTATGCTATTCCTATATAAGTACTGAGGCTGTACAGATAAAATATTAATAAATGTCAAAAATTTGCAAAGGCCCTTTGGTGATTTGCCATTCATCCAGAGAAGCAGGTGATTGACTCAAGTAGTTTTTGCCGTGTTAACTTAGCTCTTTAATTGTGTAAATCTGTGTTGTCTACTGCCATGGACCCCAAAAGATCATTTAAATTTTAAATAAATGGGTTTGTTTGCATTTGAAATACTCAATAGTCATGTGTAGGTAGTGCCTGTGTTGGAAAAGGCAAAAACAGAATATTCCCATCTATACAAAAGCCCTGCTGGGTTATGCTGGTGTAGATAATGTAAGGGTATTAGCATAGCCCATTATTTCCTTCTGTTCTCCTCCACACAGGATAAATCAGGACACTATGTTATTATTCTGCTACCTACAATAAAGGCAAGAACTAAGAGAAAAGTCACATTAACTGCTGACATTGATCGACACTCTTTTTCTGGACTTTTTCTGCAATTAGCATATTATGCCTGTGGGTGCCAGTAGACACTATCCACATAAGATACACTTTGAAACTACTATTGTAGCTTGACAAAGTTGAAATCCGTGAGTAAAGAATCATCCTCATCTATTTATAAGCGATTTAGAAGCATATAAATAGGACAAAACTATCAGTGCACTATCAGGCAGCCAGGTGTAAAATAATGGAGACTTAGAGGAGACAGTCTTACATAGTGAAATGTAAAAGAAACACCTAAATAACAGGAGCATAATTAGCAATTTTATCAACATCTCTCCTGTGTACTAGGATATTTTATTTGCGTCCTCTTTCATCACACATTGGGAATTACATGTTAAAGTCAAGACCTCCTGGTGTCTTGTTCACCATCCTTCTAAATTGATTTGGTATCAGAAGCCCTACCACATGACTTTGCCAACTTTCAAGTGCAATGTGACCCTGGCAACCACATTATTTTGCCTCAAGTGTGAAGAAGGAGATGGTCTAGTAAGAGGTGAAAAAACAAAACCAATTATAATGCAATTGGTTCTTTGTGGACGTGGGACTGAGTAACCTCGAGTCACGCTTGCCACTGGGGTCCCAAGACACACCAACTCTGGCTTAGTAGAGAGAAGTATTAGTAGAGGTGTAGGGGACAGACTGTGCCAAGATAGTGCAATGTGACACAATAGAAAGATGTAAGGGGAAGCCCTTCAATATGGGGAGACTATCTGGAGCCAGAAAGAATGCATGGAGGAGGAGCTAAAGGGAAGACTTCAGAGGTAGGTAAAAGTTGTAGACCCCAATGAGTCATGTTCATAAAAGCAAGTGGCTATTTAGAAGCCACTTACAGAGAACAGCATGAGTAAGTTGTTACCAGCATGCTACATGAATGTTAAACGCCTGCTACATGATTGGCTGGTGCAGTGACAGACTGAAAGCATGAAAATTATTGTACAACTAATATATGAATAATAAATACGTGAGTGACTATCATGTTTGTCAGCTTCAAGTGCTAGGTAATGAATACCTAGGTAAGCTAGGGAGGAAGTTCACTGGAAGAACTGCTTGCTGTCCAAGCATAAGGGAGGGTTTGAGTTTGCCACCTCAGAACCCACATAGAACTGGACATGGTAGTATGTGTTTATAATCTCAGGACTCCCACAGTGAAATAGGAGGTGGGTACAGGATGATTCCTGGAAGTTCAGAGGCAGTTGTCTTGTAAACAGCAATGATGAGAGGCCATCTCAAAGGAGGAAGAAGACATGAACTAACATCTGAAGCTGACCTCTGACCTCCACATGCATGCCTTGGCACATGTACACACACACACACACACACACACACCATTTTGTAATATTGAGACCGACACAGAGCAGGCACTGTGGTTTTTTTCTTTGTTTTATAACAGTATGTTGGGTTCCACATCAATGACAAGGAAACTACTTTTAAATCATGATATTGCTAATTTGCCAAAGAATAAGAGTTTTCAGTGTCCTACCACAAGACCCAAAGTTGACGTAAGCAATAGCCAAGACCCCATGCTTCCAGCCTATTTTCTCCACCCTATTAAAAATTACTCTGTGAATAAAAAATTAAAATTACTTTCTCTTCCTCCCAAGAAAGGGACTTAGACTTGGGTTTGTGCACAATTGCTGAATGGCTCAGTTTAATAAACCTAATTAGGAATTACAGAGATTATGATTAAACATATTAAATGATTAATAGCATTATGCTGCTCATGTAAAAATTAAAATTAATCATCTCTAGTCAAACAAGACTTTGGAGAAATCTTTGTGGTGTTTCCTTTGATGGAAACATACAACGCTCAATTAATCGTTTTGTAGTATACACATTTATACAAATATTCATAAATTATTATGTAGGGATACCTATAGAAGAAATAAATTTTACTGAAAATATGTAAAATTAAAAGTAATTCCAAATTGTTTTGAAATTTTTATGTTTGTGAGAAGGGGTGAATAGGGGTATGAACCTCTACAGGGTGAGAAAGGATAACCAAAAAGGTAATTTCAAGCTGAGTGCGCCTATGTCCAAGGTAACCCATTGGGATACAACCAGGAATATGGATACATCCATCCAATGTGCATCCCTACTGCCACCAACTGCTAATCCAGCACTGGGCACCTTATATCTCTGTGCCTACAGTTCTCTCATCTTTGAAAGGACAATAATGGTCATAGCCTGCAGGCTTAGGACAAGGACTAAAATATAGGGGCAGGTACAATAGGCAATAATCTCAGAACAAGGAATCCCCCAATATTTATATAGAGAGTACTCTTTACTTTTTAGGACAAAGGGGGCTTTTCCTATGCATACCTCTTGGAACTTTCAAGGAAAATATTCCTGGAACATATCTGTGCTTTTCTATGTCCACTTGGGTTTAGATCTGGTATGTCACCTACATGTGTTAACTACAATTTGGTGAATACTTTGGGACTTTGGTACCCAAATACTTGGTACTTTAGGAGTTGGCATCACTTGTAAAAGTTGACACTTCATGGAAGTGAGGTCACTGCAGGGATGGGACCTGCTCTTCTTCTTCTTTTGTATCCTGATATCACAGAGTGAACAGTCCTCCTCTACACATCTCCACAATGCCCTGTGCTCTGATAGCCACAGGCTAAAAGCTCTGAAACTACAAGCAAAGATACACCTCCTTGCTGAATAAGTTGTCATTCTTTCACAGCATCTGGAGCTGCCTAGCACAATCTCTGGGTTTGTCTCCAGTCAGATTACCACAAATTTAGTGGCTTAAAACCATCGAACATTTTATACCATAGTAATGAGGATGAAAATCTATAACCAAGGCTTCTACAGGACCAACTTCCTTCTTTCTTTGCCTCTTGCAGCTTCTGTTTCTGGGCATCTCTTGGTTTGTGGCTTTGTGACCCTGATCTGCCACAGTTTTCACATGGTCATCTTCCCTGTGTGCCTCACTCAAGTCTGCTTGAGCTTCCTTTTCTTTTCTTTTCTTTTCTTTTCTTTTCTTTTCTTTTCTTTTCTCTTTTCTTTTCTTTCTTTTTTCTTTTTCTTTCTTTCTTTCTTTCTTTTTTTTTTTAAAAAAACCAGTCATTAGATTTAGAGCCCATTTTAAGGAAGAATGACCTGAGATCATTAATTTCATTCTATCTTCCAGGACCCTCAAATAAGGTCTCAACTATTCACAGTTGAGAGAGGTTACACCATGGACATATATTTGGAAGCTGCCATTCAACCTATGACAGTTTCCTTCTAAACACAAAGCCAGAAGAGCATATTCAATTAGTGGCTATTTTCCAGGAATGGCTATGTTATTTTTAGTACTATCTCTTGGCCCTTGGAGACTCTCAAAAGAGCTAGCTTCCAACAAGGACCAAAAGAAAGGAGAATGTTCTAGTATAAACAGAGAAGACACAGGAACCTTCCCTTCACCAGGCCAGGCTGGTCACCTGTCCTTATGTGCCTGTCCCCTCTGTTAGGGTGGGAGGTCCTTTGTCAATTTCTAGAAATGTCATTACCATTCCACACTTTAGTGTGAAAATGAATAAAATGGTAATTATTCACCTGTGGTGGACTTTTTCGAATGAAACAGTGATGGTTAAGCCCCACTTAACAAGCCTACATCAATCATGACAGGCACCAACAGCACTCATTTTAGTTTTGTTCTCAGTTTCTCTGGACCATGGACATATACAGCTCTGAGAACCAGTCTTCTAACCACACAGGAATACTAACAGACCCTCTGAATTGGAGACCCCTTACTCCAAGAGGCAGGTTTCTCTGAAGTTCTTGGTAGAAATTCTGAACAAGCGCCTTAAGACCCACCATGCCGGGTTCTGTGTTGGTTCACTGTGTCACAACCCTATCAGGAGGCAGACTGTTGGTTGAAGAATTTTTCTTAATAAACAAACTCCCCAGGTATTGGCATAGGTTATAAATGTTAAGAAAACACCACCGGCACTTTAATCTCCTGAAGATCACTTAGTGTTTCCACAAAGACCTTAATAAAGAACCGTGGGGCTCCCTCTGCTGTAATCGTTCCTAATTCAATGAATAGCTCTGAGCAACCCACAGCTAATCCTAGTGAAATTGGATTTTAATATCGACCAATCCAAG